TATATATATATATATACACATATGTATATGTATATACATATATATACATATATATATGTAGATATGTAGATATAGATATATAGTCTTTGAGTTCTTTCAGCATGTTTTATAGTTTGAGTGCCCTAGCATTTTGCTCCTTAGTTTATTCTCAATAATTGTATTATTTTGAATGTTATCATGTATTACAGTATAATATTGGTTTCTTTTTTGAATTTATTGCTGCTATGTAGAAATTAAATTTGTATGTTGTGTATGTATGTTGACTTGCATCCTACAGTATTAGTAAATTGTGAATCATTTCATACCTCTAATAGTTTAAGTTGTGAAGTCTTCAGAAATTTTGTTTTTGTCTTTGAGAAGGGGTCTTACTATGTAGATGGCCTCAAACTCACAGAGACATGCTGCTCTGGCTCCCAAGTGCTAGCATTAAAGGTGTGTACTGTAAATCAAAAACAGATTGTGTTTCTTTTGGAGAAGTATGTCAAGGAGATGACTTCCCTGCTTGATGTAATCTTTGGTATAAAGGAGGGGCCCAGACTTACACACCCCACCTCTCTACCTAGGACATACCTGTTTGAGTGTAGCTAGGTCTGGTACTGTGGGCTGCTGTAATCCTGGTCTGTCTGACATGGCAGTAGTCGAGGACTCAGAGTACCTTTCCTCCTCTCCTGCCCTGTCTGAAAAAGGCTCTGTGGGTGACAGGATATCTTTAATCCTCTGTATTCCAGAGGAGGCCTGAGACTGCCCCTTGTTTAAGCTTCGCCAGTGAAGCTGCAGCTTTGCTCTTTCAGGGATGCCTGGCATTCCACAATCTTATGTTCATGTGGAGGAGGTGTGTGTTACTCATCCTGGGTGGAGTCCCACATTTAGCATACTCTGGTTACTAACTGGTTAGAGACAAAATAATGAAGGAAAAAGTTGAATAATATATATTTTTTAAATACTGTATAGTAAAATATATAAAGTGTAAGCTGGGCCATGGTGGTATACACCTTTAATCCCAGCACCCTGGAGGCAGAGGCAGGTAGTTCTCTATGAGAGAACCAGCCTAGTCTACAGAGTGAGTTCCAGGACAGCCAGTGCTACATAGAACCCTGCCTCAAAAAACAAGACCCCATGCCCCCCAAAAAAGGTAGGGAAATACAGACAGTTACTTGGATGAAGCTGAGGTCAGTGAGACGTACACAAAGTAGCAAGCAAGAGGGCAAAGTGCAAGGTAGGTCCTCACAGACTGTCAAGTGAGACGTGGGCCTCAGGGAAGCACCCCGCATACCAGCAGCTGCAGTTTTGTGAAAGTAGCAGATGAAGTTTTGAGAGTGATTCCCCTTCACTTCTGCAGTTCAGCCATTTGGAGCAGACCCACCTAAAGACTGCCTTCTGTCCTCTATTTACTCAGGACTTGTTTTTTAAGTACACCTGGAATAACTTTTTGCACTTCCAAGTGGAACTATGCATAGCCGCTATTCTTTCCCATGCTGCTCGGGAGGAGCAGGCAGAAGCCAGTGGATCGGATGGCAAGGCGGAGCCTCTGCGGGGGAGTGGAGATGGGAATGAGAAGCTGGAGACCCCTCCATCCAGCCATCCTCCATCCAGCCTTCCTGAGAACATGATGGTGACCCATGTAAGTCCAGGCCCCATGGAGTTGTGCCACCTGAAGCCAGCGCTTCCCAGGGCCTGCTGTGTTTTCTCCTAACCCTCACGTGGGTCAGAGGTGCAGCTGTCTTTGACCCAAGAGAACACAAAATTGTAAAGAAACATTCAGTTGGTGACGGAAAAGGAAGAGCAGCATTTGCAAAGATGGTCTTGTGGTTGTGAGTTACAGCTGTAGGCAGACAGACACCTGGACATTCCCGAATACACATGTACACACACCTGCATGGCTGCGCTCACTGCAGCCCCTGCTTTGCTCAGTCACCTTCATAGCTAAACACAAAATAAAATGCAAGAGTTAAATTCTCCTGGAAAGCTTTCCTGGAAGCCAGCTGCACCAGCTTCTCCATGACTTCTCTTAGTCACCGGAGGATGACCACACAGTTGTCACCCTACTTCTTCCCCTAGGTGGGCCACCTGAGGGGTATAGTCTACAGCTCAGTCTCTTCTTGACATCAGCATTGAACACCATCCCTGGTAGAGAGCAGCCCTAATGAATGTTTGCCAGGGAAGAAAGGGAGAAAAGAGCTTGGGATCATAAGCTGTATCTGAGCTGAGACCCACTGTGACTGCTGCCCGGTTCTAAAGTGGTAAAGAACATTCTGGAGCATACAGAATGTCAACATTCTGCTGACAAGAGGGCAGAGGTTTGGGAAAGGATTCCTGTGTTTCTGTTCAGAGACCTCATAGGCAGCAGTGCTTGATTGGGTTTAGATCTCCCAGCTGCTTGCTTGGGGGGAGGTACCCTGAGAATCTGTGCAAACCTAGAAGGAGCTAATACTGGATATGATGCATTCAGTCTGGCCCATAGTTTATGACCCAATGAATAAACAGCCATGAGACAGGCAATTACAATGGCAAGAGCTATATGGAGACAGGGAGTTCTATTCATGGGCCATATGGACCAACAGGGACCCCGGATAGTGACAGTGAAGTTGTAATTTGGGGTCTGTAACAAACATCCAAGGCATAAAAAAATAGCCTTTGTATGGGGAAAAAAATGCTGACAGCTGGGTAGAGTGGCCAGATGTATAGCTGGAGGCCCACAGTGGGGGAGGCAGAAGACATTCTAGCATGTTGGAGTTGCATAGAGTGTCCTTTACTGTACTTACTGGTCTTCATTCTCAGGGCATTCAATAGCATGAGACTTGGAGCCCTTGAGCATCAGTGATGTCATGGCCACAGGGTCTTCAGTGCTGATTTGCCAGCTCACTACCTGCAGCACCTAGGAGGCAGTGTGAGCCTTGGGCTCCCACTCACACTGCCTGCCACTCTGCTCTCACAGCTGTTCCAGAAGTGCTGCCTGGTACAGAGGATCCTGGAAGCCTGGGAAGCCAACGACCACACACAGTAAGGACTCTGAGGAACCCTCCTGGCAGTTAGGGATGCAGAGATGCATGCTACCAGGGTGTTGGCACTGCAAGACTCCAAGCTCTGTGTCAGGCGTCAGCAGTGTATAACTGTAGATATGTGCCTGAGGGGATCTTGCTACTGGGTAAACAGCAATAAGGGCTGCTGAGGAAGGAGGATGCAGGGAGGGATGGAGAGAAGTGGCATGTTGACTGATGGATGGTGGGCCGTACAGTGGTAGGTAAGTGACCCCTTCCCAACCTCCCAGCCTAACTTGCTTGGACTTGTGCACTTGAGGTTTTTTGTTTGTTTGTTTGATTTTTTTTTGTGTGTTGTTGTTGTTGTTTTGGTCACAGGGTCTCATGTAGCCCTGGCTATCCTAAAATTTACCATATAACCAAAGTAACCTGAAACTCAAGAGATCCACCTACTATTGCCTCCCAAATGCTGGGATGAAATCCTGTGCTACCACAACCAGCTAATGTTTTGGTTGTTTGAAGCAGGTCTTGCAATATAGCCCAGGCTGGCCTGAACTTGTAATACTACCACCTTAGCATCCCAGGTGCTAGCTGCAACCATTTTTTTTTTTAAATTTTAAAATTATTATTTTATGCGTGAGTGTTTTACCTCTTGTATGTTTGTGTGCTATGGATGTATGCCTGGTACCCTCACAGGCCAGATGATGGCACTGGAGGCCCTGGAACTGGAGTTACTGATGGTTGTGAGCTGCTATGTGGGTGCTAGGATAAAACTTAGGTCCTCTGGTAGAGTACCTAGTGCTCTTAGCTGATAAGCCATTTCTCCAGCCCCAGCTGTAACCATTCTTGATCTTATTAAACTCAGGGCACCTTTGTTGGCACTTGTGCACAGGGGTGCATTTTAGCTTTTCTGCAGCTCCTGTCTGAGCCTTCTCTCCGCTCTGTGTTTTTCAGGGGTTGGTGGCCACCTTCATTCATTCACTGGCCTGCTGAGAATAGGTGGGCTCTTGGCAGTGTTGAGCAGGGTCATGGGAGCCTAGGGCTGTGTGAGTACAGTTGTGAAACTATCACCCAAGTCCGGTGAGGTGCACAGGTAGAGGCTAGACCAAATCACTTGGTGTGGAGGCCCTACCCAGCTCCAACAATGGGCAGTATCCCAGTAGCAGGGTGCCCAGCACAGGCTTTGCTGCCGTCAGTCCTGACACAGCTCTTCTTTCACTACTTCCTCTGGTGGAGCTTGAGCCAGCACTGTCAGCTTCCTGCCTTCGTCTTCATGTCCATAAGTAAGCAGTCTCATCAGTGTTTCTTGGCCTGATGGGGGTAGGTTGGCTGAACTGAATGCATACCAGATGCTCGTTAATCATCCTGTCCTAGAGGCAAGGCTGTCGGTTAGGCACTGACTGGTGAGGTTGCTTCCCTGGAAGTTACCCTGGAGTGACAAATACAAAGTAGACAAAGGTGTAGGCTATAGGTAGGTGACAGTGAAGATGAGCTTCAGAAAGTCTGTCACTTGGGCCTCCCAGTAAGAAGTTGGGCATGACTGGACTGCCACCCTGATAGTTCATCTCACTTTCAGGGCGGCAGGTGGTATGAGACGTGGGAACATGGGCCACCTCACGCGGATTGCCAATGCAGTCGTGCAGAACCTGGAGCAGGGCCCAGTACAGACCCACATCAGTGAGGTCATCCGAGGTGAGACCACTGCCTTCCTCTTCTCTGCCCTCTGTCCTTAGGGGTGACAACTACACTGATATGGGACAAACAATGCAGCCTTCTTGGTCATCATCTCAGGGTATGCAGGGTATCCTCTTCATAGAGCAGACATCTGTAGAGTATAGGAGACTCGCCTGGCAAGGACAATCATGGCTCCCATGGTAGGCTTAGAAGCCAACAGCAGGCACCAGGCTCTCTTATGCTCACGGGCTTCCCAGAGCTGTACCTGTACTAGAGGTCCTGGCTCACCTTCCTGCCTTGTTTTTAACTCAGGCAGTTTGGAAGGCCTTCCTAGTTTTCATATCAGGAGGCCATCAATGAAAGTGATACCCTTTCCTCTGATACCCTGAATTCTGCAGGATGGGCAGTACCATTCTGGGTCTCAAGCAAAACAGCAGAGCCCCTGCCCTTAGCCATGGTGCCACTGCTCTGTGCCCCCTTGTGCACAGCTCTCAAGAAGGGCACTTCTTTCTGACCCTTTCATGTTCTGAGCACAGAACTGCTCAGTGGCCACATTCTCATGCCAAATACACTGCCCTGTGACCTAAGTACATGAGTGAGGGGAGTGCTAGACAAGAGAAGAGATTGCCAACAAGCCTGAATAGGGAATAGCAGATACTTTGCAGCCTGCTCAGAACTGGCAGACAGGTAGTCCCAGAGATACCTGAGTACTAGTTTGTGTATAAACTTGAGACATTTCTTGCTCCGTACCCTGAGCTGGATGGTGGGGAAGGTGAGAAGATAGTTTCACTGCACTGGCGATGACTCAGGGTCCTGTGTGCAGCATTTGGGGCTAGAGAAGCACAAGCTTCTTGTTTGGCCCCAAGGTCCCTTGTGCAAGACTTTCCCACAAGCACGGGGTAAAGACGGTCCAGGTAGCCTTCCCACAATCCAGGCCAGAGTAATTTCTTTCTCTGTGGTACCTCAGGCCACCTGCCTGTCCACCTTCCTACTTCAGTAGTCTGTGGTGAAGGTGAACTTGCTGGGCCATCAGCCCACATAGTGAGTAGGTCATAGGGCAGAACAGTGAGCAAGATACTGGTGGCTCCCTCAGAATTAGAAGAGAAAAACAAATGGCCTTGGAGCTCAGCATAGGGCAGTTTAGAAGGTGAAGGCTGAGCAGAAAGTTCTTGTTTCTGGATTGGTGCAGGCTATCGTTTGCCAGACTGAGGCCTCTAAGGAGTGTATTAGGAAGGTGGCTGCTTCCTCAGCTCCTTAGGGTAGACACCCATACCTGCAGGTAGATCCAGAACTCTTCTTCCACCAGGCCTGATGGCATATGCTTTTAATCCCAGTACTTGGGAGGCAGAGATTGGTACATCTCTGTAACTTTAAGGCTAGCCTGGTCTACATATTGAGTTCCAGAACAGCCAGAGTTACACAGTGAAACCATGTCTCAAAAACAGGAACAACAACAACAAAAAACCCACAGAAATAAAACAATGGAACTCTCATGCTCCCTGAGGTCTCTGTAGAAACAAGATGGTGAGCATTGCCCTGCCCAGGGTTGCTATAGCTCCAGGCCCCTCCCCCTTTGCTGTATGGCCTTAGTTCCCATCAGCAGCCGCTGTTTGCCTTCAGTGTGCTGATCATAGAATATAGCTTGTCCCTCTCTGGACCAGCATCTGCCTGCTAGGCTCCTGAGTACCCTACCCTGTCTGCACAGATCCCAAGGACTTACACGGTAGCACTTACTTTGCAGGGCTCCCTGCAGATTGTCGTGGGCGCTGGGAGAGCTTTGTGGAAGAGACGCTGATGGAGACCAACCGGAGGAACACTGTGGACCTGGTGAGGAGGCTGGGCTACTCCGTGGTGACCACTGACAGTCCCATATGCTTCATGCTGCAGTATAGGTGGAGGAGGAGAGCACAAGGGCAGAGCTGTACCTGGGCACTTAGCACTTAGTCCAGCCTCTGGCCTGCAGTCTGTACCATACCATTGCTGTGTCACAGCAGAGCTGGCTCCCTGAGGATCTCTTTGCAAAGCTGGTGTTATCTTTTGATCTCCTCCCTCCATAGCTATGGATTATTTGTGAAGGACTCTATGCTTGGGTCCCAGGGCATTACCTGAACCAGGGAGGCTGGGATTTCTTTGGCATCTCCTTGCAGTAAGCTGCTCAGGCCCACAAGTGCCAGAGGGATTGGTGGTGTGGGAGGGTACTGGGGGGAGACCGAGGCTGGGCTGGGTGGGGCCTGGGGCTCTGGCTGGACTGGACTGGGTGGGGTCTGGCTAGCTCACATGCCCACCCCATCTGGCCTGTGTTTTAGGTGAGCACTCACCACCTTCACTCCTCAAGTGAGGACGAGGACATTGAGGGTACTTTCCCTAACGAGCTGTCCCTTCAGCAGGTGAGGGCATGGCCGGCACTCTGCACCCTGCCAGGCCCTTCCGGAGCCTGTGTCCTTGTAGTGCTTAGTTTCCCTGACATTGCCTAGCAAAAGAGAAAAGTAACTCAGCCTCAAGCACATCTGGGGGAGAGGGAGGTCTGGGGGGTTACCTCCAAAGTCACATAACCGTGGTGAAACTCTTGGGGACACTGAGCTTGAAAGTGAGGAAGGACGTGCTGTTCTGTACACAACTGCTCAGCCACTGTTGAGGCTGAATTTTCAGCCTCCGGGAAAATTCACTGCCTGCTTCACCAGAGGCTCCTGAACACTGGAGCTCTGGGTTCCAAGGAGCAGCTTCCATGGCTACAGCTTGTTCCATAACAGCACCCTCTCCTCCCAGGCCTTCTCTGAGTACCAGATCCAGCAGATGACAGCCAACTTTGTGGATCAGTTTGGCTTCAATGATGAGGAATTTGCAGACCAGGATGACAACATCAAGTGAGTGCAGCCATCATGAAGGCTTGGGCTCTAGGCTAGCGATTCCTCTTCCCTAAGCAATAGTACCATAGAGGCAGCTCCAAGTGATCTTGCCTGGAATGAGGTCCACTGACCCTGAGGAGATAGCAAATACTTAACCTACTGTTTGAAGGCAACCAGGCCCACTGGACCAGAGGAGAAACTGAGGGATTTTGTTCTTGCAGTGCCCCATTTGACCGGATTGCAGAGATCAACTTCAACATTGAAGCGGATGAGGACAGTGTGAGTGATGGGGGCTACTGCAGGGCTACAGGGCATAGCATCATTTTATTCCACTTGCTCAGATAGTTCAGGCTGTGCCCACAACTCAGTCCTTGTCACAGGTGGATGGGACCATGGGCTCCTGGCCAGTGTATTTGTGTCAGGACTGGGAGTCACCCTTCCATGGGAGTTGGGAGCAGAGCTTCCCTCTGTACCTCCTCCCATACTGTCAGTCTTGTTCTGTGAGCTAGCCCCTTTGGGAGTTATTTGGGACTAGAACTTCTCCAGATTATGTAGAAACCAGTTCCTTATCCTGTCTTGCAGCCCAGTGCAGCTCTGTTTGAAGCCTGTTGCAGTGATCGAATCCAGCCCTTCGATGATGATGAAGAGGAGGACATCTGGGAGGATGAGGAGACTCGATGCACTGCCCGGGTGATGGCCAGAGCCAGGTGTGGGGTTCACCCATTCCTTCAAAGCCTCCATCAATGGGGAGCAGGCATGAGATGAAGCACTGGATAGCCAGCCACTATTAAAGTGCTCAGATACCCAGAGAGGTAGTGACCCTTCTTGCAGAGACCACCGAAACTGGGAGCCGAGCAGAGCTTATTCTGTACACTGTGTCCATCCCTGGCCACAGTCCTGAACTATCACAGGTTCTCCAGCTTTGGGCACTGAACCAAGGCTCACCAGGATCTGCTGCCTTTGTGTCTACCCAGGTTTGGAGCCCCGCATGTCTCAGAAAATTACTCAAAGAATGCCTTGGATCATGGAGGCCAGAACAGGAAGGCTGGCTCGGCAGCAGCTAAGAATATGCCTGGATTAGCCACCCCTTCATCTATACAGAAAGAAGGTCCTCGCTCAGAGAGTGATTCAGCAGGTAGTACCTGAAGACATGGGTTCTGGGGATAGGATGTGGTGACCTGGCTTAGGGACACCCTTTGGAGCCACTGTGTCTCCAGCTGTTGATGACCTGCTTCCCCGTCCACACGTTTCATGAAATGCTCTGGGAGGTCTGACCACCATGGGTGAGGGTCTGCTCTCACTGAGTCAGGAGCAAGGTGTTCTTAACTCCCTTCTGTGTGGTGCCTGCATCCTGTATCAGTACTTGCACAGCTGTTATCTGTTAATCTGTATGCTGCTGCTTGCCTCCCCTCAGGAGCATAATCTACCCCATATTCTGCCTCTTAAGAGACCCCTTTTATTGCTTCTGCATTGGGATGCTGAGATACTCAGGACACAGGCAAGAAGCCAGCTTTCTGTTAGAAGTTGCCAGCACCTTAGCTGAGGCTGACAAGCAGCTGCAAAGCCAAGGGCACAAACACCCACAGTAGGGTGACCCATGCCAAGGTCAAGGAGAGAGCAGAGTGCCTGCTATGACCTAGGTTGGGACAGGTGGGACAGTGTACTCGTACCATCAACCTCACTAGGGGCCAGACGGGGCCTCACCTTGTAAAGCAATGGATCTGCAGTGCTGTTGCCCACACATCTGCTCTGTTACAGAAGTGAGTGGTTTACAGGACCCTTGGGGCCCCTGCACCCATGTGTTTCAGGGTTTGAGGCCACACTACTCTTTGAAAAGGACCAGTAGGTACCACCTGGGGAGTCCTGCCATCTCTGACACTTCAGAGAGGGCCCCTAGGGTTTCCTAACTGGGAGTATCTGTCGTCCTGTTGATCCTGTACCCACCTCCATGTGAGTGCTGCTTCTCCCCTGTCTATCACATCCTAGGTCTGCCTACTCTTGACTGCTGTGTCTCCCCTGGCAGGTACTACATGGACAGCAGTTTTTGATGAGCCAGTGAACCTGACGTCTGCAGCCCCAGCAGCTGCAAGGGATGTGGGTTCTAGTGTATGGGCAGCTGGTCCCTCAGCTCCAGAGGAAAAAGGCTGGGCCAAATTTACCGACTTCCAGCCTTTCTGCTGGTAACGAACATATCAGAAGTAGAGTCATGCCTTTTGGGTGCCAGAACCAACGTTGCCCCATGGGCTCAGCTTGTCCTAATCTTCTTTTGTAGCTCTGAGTCAGGGCCCCGGTGCAGCTCTCCTGTGGATGTGGAGCACAGCCCTGCTGTGGGTGGCCAGAGTCCAGGCACAGAGTCCAGGCACAGTCCAGGCACAGAGAAAGCCTGTGAGTAGCAGCAGCTCAGGCACCTGTCTTGACTTGCTCCCAGGCCTTAGGCAAGGCCAGACCCCCTGGGGAAAGTGGGAAGTGGTCAAGGGTGTGGTGTTTGGCGTCCTTATATACGTGTGTCATGTATAGGTGGAGGTCCTTCAGCTTTAGGAGTACAGGGCAGGGCAACATGGCTGTTAGGCTGTCCTCAGAGCCAGGTCTGATCAGGCTGGATGGCCCAGTGTGCCCTTTACCCACCTGTATCCTTGAGTCATGAGTCACATTGTGAAGTATATGGTTAAGTCCCTGATGGGAAGCCAACACGGGACCTGATTGTAAAGTCCTTGACCATCTAGGTATAGTGATGCATGCCTGTAATCCCAGCACTTGGGGAGGCAGAGGCAGGAGGATCGCTGTGAGTTTGAGGCCAGTCTGGTCTACAAAGTGAGTCCAGGTCAGCCAAGGCTATACAGATAAACTCTATCTCAGGAAAAAAAAATGCTTGGCTTCCATCTCCTCCTTGAGAGGCAACAGTCATGCCTTTCCTGGGAGTTAGGTTTCAAGTGGCTCTGAGCCCTTGCTTCTTCCTCTGAGAAGAGCACACGCATCTACCTGTCGTGTGGAGAAGGGACTAGTCCAGATGGAGGCTAGGTTGCAGTCCATGTGGTTCCTATGAACATGCAGTGCACACATGCAACATTCAAGAAGCCAGCATCAGTCTATGCCTCTCACGGTTCACATGGGCACATGCAAATTTGAGGGCCCTGAGGCCATGCTAGCTGTGCTCTCTGGCTCCTCTGCCCTCACAAATATCACAAGGTTCCTTCCTTTGCAGTTGGTCCTACCTCGCCTTGTGCCTGGAACGTGTGTGTCACCAGGAAGGCCCCACTGGTAGCCTCCGACAGCAGCTCCTCTGGGGGATCTGACAGCGAAGATGATGAGAAGGCAGCGGCGGGCAATGTAGAAGCTGTGTGCACAGGTCATGGTGGAAAGCCCTCCCCACTACCCAGGACAGAGGAGGCTGCTGCTGGCAGGTGCGAAGGGAATGGCAAGCTCACCTGGACTTCTTAGACAATAGTACATGTTTTCTGTTTTAAGTGATTCAGAGTAGAAGACAGACCCTGGATGTCCCAAGAGCTCCTCAGAATCTTGAGAGGACAGCCTCCACTACAGAGGACAGTCACAGAGAAGACCTGGCTTTCAGGCTCTGGGACTGGCTAGCCTCCTTGTTGTCTAGGCTTGTCCCAGACAGTGGAGGAAAGGCCTGCAGCCCTTAACTTTCTATAGGGCAAGCTTATGACTCTGGGGCTGGCCAGCCCCTCCTGCTGCCCCCTTGGTGGTACAGTATGTGTGGACTCCAGTCAGGTGCCCTACACTCACACAGTAGAACAAAACACATCTCAGGACTGGGGATTGGGTCTGTAGTCAGAGCCCTGGCTGGGAGGTGGAAGCAACTCACAGGTGGACAAGCCGAAGTTCCCTTGAGATGCCAGAAGGCCCTCCCTAGAGAAAAAGACAGGAATGTCATGTCCTTCCGCCAAAGGCAAGCCCCTCCAGCAAGCCTAATCCATGGCTGTTGTTTTGTGGCATAGTGTGTGGTTTCTGATTTGGATGGTTAAGATGAGAAGACAGGACCAAGGTGTCCCAACAGCTACCTATGACTCAGGGCACTACCCATAGTGAAGTCCCTGGACCCACCAGGGTACTGACAGCCTCCTGGCATTCAGGGGCTGATGAGCAGGTGTTCAGGCTCAGGAGTATAAGGGATTGTCTGTTGATACAGGATACTGGCAATGGCTTGCAGCTGTACAAAGGTCCTGAGCCAGGACCTCCACCTAAGCTCAGGGTGCAGTAAAGGAAGTCCCAGGGCTGGGCCTTACCAGGAGGGAAGGTACTAATATCATACCTTAACCCCAAGTGTGGAAAGATTTTGCATCTACTCTGAATGAATGTCACATGTGGGGTTTCCCAGTATTCCTGCCTACACTTCTTCCAAGCTTTGGATGTACCTGACAGGTGGGCACCAGCTGGACTGCCTAGCACAAGTCCACCATCAGGCATTCAGGTCCTGGGTCTGACCAGCCCTGCCCTCTCCTCCTCCATAGCACAGTAGGCCCCTGCCACCACTGTGTGTTTCTGGAGGATCCTCTGATATTGGAGCGTAAGGGTTTCCTTCAGCTAAACTGGGAGCTCAATCAGCTGGAATCCATGGTTGGTGCAACACAGTGGTTCTCAACCTTTCTGTTGCTGCCACCCTTTAATAATACAGTTCTTCACATTGTGGTGACCCCAACCATAAAATTATTTTCATAATTTTGCCACTGCTATGAGTTGCAATCCTAAAGGGGTTGCAACTCATAAGAACTGTTGTGTCCAGCTTGGGCTCATAGTCTCATATTCTGTGCCCACAGCCCCTTGGCTGCTTATGTCCAAAGCTCAGGAACCCAGGCAGGACATAGCCCCTAAATCCAACACTGTATGTTCTAAAAGATTTACAGCAAAGCAGAAAAAGTAGACCCAAGACTTGGAGAGGGGCTTACATGGTAACTGAGTCAGATGTGATAAAATTAACCAAAATGAAAGCCTAGTCTAGACCTCCTTGTGTTGAGTACACAGGCTTGTCTTGCTGTGTTGCCAAGGATGGCCTCAACATTTCACAACCCTCTAGCCTCCATCTCTTTAGTGGTCAAATTAGAAAGGTATACCACCACACCCAGCTAACGGCCTGTTTTAAAAGTTTAGGATTACTGAGATTTGTAAAATCTTCACCCTCTTTTCCTAAATCCTTCCTAGAGAACTAGTTTAACCCTGCTGCAAATGACAGCATCTTTCTGCAAATAAACCCTTCTACAGGCTATTCTCAAAACTTGCTAGATAGCTGCTTGACTGGCAGGATTTACTCAGCTTTAGAACTCCTTTCCATTCCCTGCATCTCATCTGAACAACTTGCCCTGGGACAGAGCTAGGTATCCTTGTTCTGCAGGCCAGGGGATCTACCTGCTACTGTACCTGGGAGAGGCTGGCCTTGGGAAAGGTCCTAAGTGCTTATATAATCATTTCCCACCCCACTCCCTTTTTTAAAAAGATAGGTCTCACTTCGTAGCCCTGGTTGGCCTGGAACTCTCCCATGTAGATCAGACTGGCCTCAAACTCCTTGACCTGCCTGTCTCTGCCTTCTGAGTACACAGTAAAAACATGTACCACCATGTCTGGCTCTCAGAGACACTTTGATAGACAGGGTGGAGATGAATTTAAGCAGCAGCACTGGAGCCTTCAGGAGGTAAAGTTCTGAAACTGTCAGAATTTGAGTGCTGCTTGTAGGAAGGTCTGAGGTCACGATACTCATGTAGCTTGTCTCAAATTGTTTGGGACTCAGGGCTACAGAGCCATCTGTCTGTAGCTCCTGAGTCAACCCACCAGAGACAGAAGCAGAAAGGAGCTGTGTGTGCTACTTTTCGGCCCTTTGCTAGATCAAGCCACTTTGCTAGCCATTGGGGGTACCTGAAATAGGCAGCAGTGAGTGGGGCACCTGTAACTGAAGCCTATCTGCCACACAGGGCTGAGGGTAACGACAGCACCGTGTTGGCCCCTGCCTGCTCTGCATCTTCAGAAGTGACCGTCAGTACTGCTGTGGCCACCACAGCGCCAAGCAAGGCAGGCCCTCCCACAGCCACCGTAGTCTCTTCCTCAGTGGCTACTGCAGTCCCCCCAGGGCCAATCATGGCAGTAAACACAGCAGCCCCAGCCATAGTTGCCACCTTGGGGACAATGACAAAAGACAGGTGAGTAGGTTGGCCAAAGAGGGTAGGGTGGGATTGGATGAACCCCAGAAGCCCACATGCTTCCAACTCTGTCCCTTCCCCATTTTCGCAGGAAGACGGATACCCTGCCAGAAGGAACTGCCTTAAATGGTCCTGTGTAACTGCTGCCACCCAGCTATGGCCCGCCCTGGTCAGGCTGCTTCCTTAATCAAGAAAACTACCTGGTGATGCAAATTTTTTTAATTTAACTTTAAAATAAATGCTGCATTTGGTAAAGATGGCAGTGGAACCAGTTGGATGACCCAACTCCTGTCTCTCCTGCCTGCCTGCCCTTGGTCCCGTTGGAAGACGGGACAGCCCTGGTCACTGCCGGGTCCAGGTCTCAGTGTGGCAGTGAGGCGCCTGATGTGCAGTTTGCACCTGCAGGAGTTGGGGAGGGAACAAGATCCTGGGGTGCCATCAGATGGACAGGGAGGGCGAGACCTCCAGGCTCTGGTTTCACTTGTTTGACGCATGGAGGAAAAGCCGTTTTTTTTTTTGCACTTTGTACCCAGCTACAGTACAGGGTCTCCCTTGGCTCAAGGCAGATGAGAAGGCCTGAGCTGGAGAGACCTGATCCCCACAAAAGCATGGGGGTCTGGCACTAGTTTGGCCACATGAGGTCAAACCAGTTCTAGCTGCCCAGGGAGTCCTGGGAGCTGGCATTGAATCAGGCTACAAATTTTGACTGCCTTAAAAACAAAAGACCCTCTGGACCTGATGGAGTTGTCTCTGCTCAGCAGGGCAGACTGGACACTTGGTTGGATGGTTGGAGGTGCCTGATGGTAACCAACATCAGACATGTGAGAGTGGACACAGCAGGGCGTGAGGAGGCTCAGACACAGTGCAGGCCCATATTGTCCAGGAAGAGTCTAAAAAGTCTGTTGTTTTTTTTTTTTTTTTTTTTTTTTAAATGTTCTGACCTTCTGACAGGGCATCCAACCCCCAATAAAAAGTATCATTCTTACTGAAGAGTGTGTATGGTTAAGCTGCAGGCGCCGAGCCCCACCCTACATGAACACCTTTGCTATCTCAAGGCTCATTCTCAGTAGCTGGGTCTCAGGTTGAAACAATGAAAAGCTCTACCTGAACAGTCAGACCAATGACACACAATCTGTGAGGGCTTGCCCCACCTAACCCCAGGGCCCATCCTGGGAAGTGTACAAGAGGCGTTTCCCTCTGGAAGTGACTCAGCCCAAGGATCACATTCCTCCCTCCCAGCAGCACCTTAACTTCCTTCACTGGTTCCGGGCAGCATTATAGGGTTAGGTTCGCAGTATACGGTGTCTCAGCTGCTCCCCCAGCTCTTAACTTGAAAACTGAAATGTGGAGAGCAAAACTCTTCCTCCCCAGAATCTGTCCTGATGGATTTTCTAAATGACAGTCTAACTCAGTTCCAGGAGAGAGCTAAGGTCACCCATGTCCAGTTGTGGGGAACAGAAGCAATGATGATACAGCCTAGAGCTGATAGGATTTCAAAGTCAAGTGGTTTCAACCTCCCTCTACAGAAGGGTCACACCTCTGGAGTCTGTCTTCATTGGATCTTCTGCTTTTGCACCTGCTGCTGCCCACCCTCTACCTTAATGAGACAGGGAGGGCCCAGATCACCAGTTGCTAGCCATCGACAGCCACACTGGGACACCCACACAGCACCCATACTTCTCTGCCTACCTTCTACCCCAGCCCTGACTGCAAGTACATAACTAATGAAGTCTAGGCCTAGTGGAGTTCACGGGCAAGTAGGAAAGGAGAGTAGTAACAAGCCTAGCAACAGAAATCACCAGTGCCCTGAGATGGTATGATCAGGGACCTCCAAAGTAGGTGCAGACAGCATAGGACCCACAATCTGTGACCCACAGACCACTGAGTGTTGTGCCCCCCCCCCCCCAGCCACATTTCCCCCTTCCTAGCTGCCTTGAGGACCTTTTTTCCTAAGAGTCCATGCTCCTTTCTGTCCAGGGTGTGTGGCCTTTGTCTTTTGGCTTCGGAACAGTTTCGCTAGGTCTTTCACTTCCTCTACAAACACTCTAGAGCTCCCTTAATGTCAGCTGATGCTCCAGAGCTGTTTGGGGGGAGAAGATGGGGCTTTTTTCTCTGGCATGGAGGCCTGGGGAAATTGGGTAGCCATGGCCACAGGATCTTGGAGGAAGTTGGGCTCAGGCTCCAGAAGAGACATACAAGAAAGACAGCAACCCTCTGCTCACTCAGAAGACCCCAGAGTTGAGACAGAGGAGCCCCTCTGAGCAGCCATGACTCACAAGGCTGATGCAGGCGCACAAGTGTATCGTTAGTTCTCTCTTTATATAGACTCTGGTTCTAGAAACAACTTAGCACAGCCAGCCGGCCAGGGCCAGCACACTGATGGGCTGGGTGGGGTGGACTATTTACAAGCCCAATGCAGGGCTGTACCATGGCCGCATCCCTAAACGGCTCAGCCATGACACCACAATAAGTTAGAGCTGGCCAGGCGGGGCGGGGCGGGAGCTGTACACACAAGTGCTGGGGGCTCAGGGCCTCAAATACTGTCGAGGGCCGGGGCTGTAAACATGGCCGGGGCGGCCCTGCCCACCCCTAGTGGTCTGTAACGACTGGAAGCAGAGCAGCCCGGGCAGGGCCGGGAGGGGTCAGGCATCCGACAGGCAGCTCTGGATCCGGTCCACCCACTGCTGGGCTGAGGGCACATCCTGGGCACAGAAGTTGTAAACGCGACGTGTTGTCTTCACCTGGGAAGAGCAGGTTACTGACTCCGTGAACCCTTCAACTACAAGCCCCTTGTCCCAGTGTTCCCCACCCCTTGGCAGAGGCTCACATCAAAGAAGGCCTTCTCGTCAACAGTCTTAGGGGCACCTATGGTGGGTGTGCCAGGTGCCACAGCTTCCACCTCTGCCAGGTCGATGACACCCTTGCATTCTGTGTCCACTCGGTGGTCATAATAACGCAGCTGGGTGAGAAGTGAGAGGCACAGTTAGGACAGGCCTATCTTCTGTCCATTTCCCTTGTCCTGGCATTGTCACTCACCTGGTGCTTGGTCTTGTCTAGGACAAACCAGCGGGCTTTCCAGGGCTTCATGAAGGCCCCTTTCTTGTATAGGGTGCCCTCATAGGACCTGCATTTGTATCAGAATCAGGGCCAGGTTAACTATTAGGTGGGGGACCACCCCTAGAAATTAGATGAAGGGTTGGTCCCTCTACATTCAACATGTGACAAGACCCTGGGTCCCAAATCCCAGAACCTTAAGGGTATTGGAGAGATAGTCCCACGTGACACAGATACCTCCAAACAGGAAGAACACTTAGCAGTCAAATCTGTGAGGCAACCAGAGTTAAATGGCTACTCCAGGCTCAAGGGAGCATGGACCCTCCCTGGCCTCAGTTTCATCTAGTGGCAGTCTTATGGGTACCCCTTGGCTCCATCTCAGCCCTGCTACAGACACCAGTTCTACAAACCCGAGGCTCTTTTGATGCTGACCTATGTTTACTAAAACCTCAAAGAACCTAGCCCCATTTGAAAGTTATGTACATGCAATTCCCAGTCCAGAAGTAACTGTGTAGCAGTAGGAGCTGCCTCTCACACCTGTTCTCACTCTCAGCTGTCTGGAATTGGCTGTACAGGGTGCTGGTGCTCCGTCGGGCAGCCTGACGAGAGCTGGATGTGGTTGAGCCGCTGCTCTGGTCACTGTCCAGGCTGAGGCTAAGAGTAGAGCCCACAGGCCCCTCCTGTAGATAGACCCCTAGCGAACGGCGGTGGTGGGGCACAGCTGACACCAGCAGTGAGCTAGGGGTACCCTGAAGGAAGCAGAATGGAGTTTGTACCAAGGCGAGGCAGCCTCCACCTCCTAGCGGCACGCATACCTGGTGTTCCTCAGACCAGCCTACCATCCCCACCCACTCACACGTCCATCCTGTCGGCCTTCAAGGCGCTGCGAAGCCTTCACCCGGTCCCACGTATCTTTCCAGCGTTCAGGAGGTCGACCTAGCTCTGACTCCAACCGCTGCAGCTCCTTGGAAGAATAGGTGAACAAAAAGAAGAACCAGAGGCTGGAAAGATGGCTCAGCAGTTACAGCACTTGTTCTCACAAAGGAGCTGAGTTTGATGCCCAGCATCCATATGGTAGCCACAACTATCTGCAGTTCCAGGGGATCCAATGCCCTCTTCTGTCCTTTGTAGGTACCAGGCATGTGTGTGGTACATTATACACACATTCAGGAAAACATTCACACACACACAAAGATTTTTTTTAATCTAAAAAATATTAAAAGATAAACAACAACAAAATAAAACAGAAACCCAGACTGGGTGGGTGCAATGGCTTAGCCAATAAAGGCGCTTGCCACCAAGCCAGCCAACTGAAGTACAATCCTTAGAATCCACGTGATGGAAGGAGAGAACTGACTCCTGAAGCTGACCTCTGACCTTTCACACATACACTAAGTAAATGTAATTTTAAAAAAGTTAAATATATCCAGGCCCGGGGTGGTAAACCACTTTAATCCCAGTACTCCGGAAGCAGATGCAGGCCAGTCTCTCTGAGTTACAGGACAACCAGGACTATATAGCAACACCCTATCTCAAAAGAAAACATTATATGGTTCACAAGGGTATGAATGAGCACTGATTTTAGAGAAAATGCAAGCCAGAAAACAATGTAATGATATCTTGAAACTGAATGTAGTATGTGGGCCTAATTAGCATTCTCTTGATGGGGGGCCAGGGTGGGGCTTGAATGTGAAAAGTTGTCACATCTGAATTTTAAACTCGGAGAAAATACCCTTCAAAAACAAAGGCACATGGCCGAGGGTAGCATAGCTCAGAGGTCTACTTTGTGCGTCCTGTGCACAAACCTGGATTCAATAGTCAGCACCACCGAATGACTAAATGGAGGGCAGGTAGGTAAAACCAGGCATGGCTTTCCGTGTCCTTCTCCTACTTGGGAGACTAAAATAAAAGAAACACTGAACTCACGGAGCCGTGAGTTCCGGGCCAGCCCAGGGAAACACAGCAACACCGTATCTTTTAAACGTAAGAGTTGGGCATGCTAGTTTACAAATATAATCCTAAAACCTAGGAGGCTGAAGCAAAAGGATCAGGGAGGAGCTCAAGACCCTCTTTAGCTACATGAGACCTGTCTCAAAGAATAAAAATCGCTAAACATGATGGCATATGCCTTTAATCCCATACCTAGGAGGCTGAAGCAGAAGGATTACTGAATTTGAAGCCAGCCTGGAATAAAAAGTAAGTTCCAGGTTAACTTTAGGTAACACCCTTAAACACCAAACCAAACGCCCTCAAAAAAAGAAACAAACAAAAAAAACAACTTAGATAAAAGGGTATGTATGACTCTGTGGCAGAGCACTAGCCATGTACATGTAAGTACATACAAGGTCCTGGGACTGATTCACTTATCTACAGCACCACTAAGAGGAAAGGAAGGTTGGGGGCACATAACAAAAGAAAAGCTGGAGGGAATGTGTGATCTGTATTACAAGATACAGTAAAAGTTCTCAGACTGAAAGCAACTAGTATTGGACTAGATATACACAGAAAAAAAAAAAAAAAAGATTATTAGAAGCCAGACCTGGAGTATGCCTGTATTCCTAACTACTGGGGAGGCTGAGGCAGATGGATCTCAAAATGTAGCCAGCTAGGATAACTTACACCTTGTTTCAAAAAAAAAAAAAAATTAATAATAATAACTAAGTTTCAGCTATAGCCCAGTGGTAGAACACTTGCCTAACATATATAAGGCCCTGAGTTCAATTCTCAGTACTGGAAAAGGGAAAAAAAAAAAAAAGATATAATGGGATTGGCAAAATAGAAAGCTTTTCTATTTTTTAACTTCTTTAAAACAAAGTTGGCTAGAACAAAAACAAAATAGTAGGTGTGTATGCCAATAGAAAAGCTGAGTGGCTCCAAGAACATCAGATCGAGCCGACTCCTCTAATCTCTGAACTATCATTTTTCGCACCTT